ATGTTTCGTTTCGCAAATTGCACTGAGCTGATGATGTTTCGTTTCGTTTCGCAAACTGAAGTAGCCATATTATTTCGTTTCACAAAATTAAGCAGATAATAGTGATTCGTTTCGTTTCCTTGACTGAAGTAACCATATGATTTCGTTTCGCAAATTGCACTGACATATTCTCAATAATCAGTTATTATGTTTCGTTTCGTTTCGCAAAATGAAGTAGCCATGTTTTTTCGTTTCGCAAAGTCAAGTAAATTTATGCCACTACACCTGGAATGACCGTAATATCCTGATGAGAAGACAAAACCGACTAATGTACGTAAACTTACGAGGGGACAAGGTGCACTTCAGTTGGTAAAGTAGAAAATATAAAAAATATCCACTTTAAGGAAAACTAAAGTTGATAAAATACTATTAAATAAAGTGAATTTTTAAAACATTTTCTATAAACAATGTTGTACTGTATTTGTTTTATTTTATTGTCCTTTGTTGCTCTTCGCCAAATGTTTTCAGTGCACAAATCACTGATCATTKTTCTGATACCGAAATTGATTTGATTTAGGAACTTAGCCCTATATGCAAATAATATAATAGGGGGTATATTAAAATGAACGATGATAAATTTTGAACTATATAGATTTTGATATTTACGATAGAAATACCAACGAACCAWGAGAGAAAARGAGGAGAATAACAATTGGAAAATATAGGAAGAAGGGGAGGCAGGGGAATGAGAAAAGCAGGTTGAGAAAAAATTCAAATCCTCATTCAAGTGGCCGAGGATATTTCGTTTTCGTTAATTTAAGTACCTGAATTGTTTACTACTGAAGATAATGGTTGTGTACTTACTAGGCTCCTTTTACTCAAAGTACTTGGAGAAAGCAATCATCGCTGTGACTATGACGCACGCAATCAATCAACAGAAATMTCGCTAAGCCTTTTTCAACCTCTCAAGATTTCAATTTCAATAATTTTATTCTCAAAATCGTATAAATTGCCCGTTTGACTACATGTTGGGTAAATGCTCAACTGTGAAATTGTGATCACATATAAGGATAACAATAGCTATAGAGAGGGATATGTCACTTTTAAATAACATGGTATCAATTGGAACAATTGATCTGATATAAAATATTAGGTGTAGTTCAGGAGGTGTGGATGTCAGCAACTGTCTTATTTTTTTCAATCGTAGTATAGTAATTATCCCAAAGCCCTTTCTCAACGCTCAACACGAGAGAGAAAAAAATGCCCGGAGGGGATGTTGGTCACTAGGGTGGCTCTAGCTCTGCCCAATCAAAATCTAGATGTATAGAGCTAGCAAATTATTGTTTGTTCTTTGTCATCCACATTCCTGAAAATTCGTGTTATATTTYTGTTTTTCCTAAAGTCAGCCTCGTTGTGTAAATGTTGTTTACAGAGTGAGTGACCGATACAGCACGGTCAYGAATTCTGTAAATGGCTTCTAAAACTAACCCTGCAGGGACCTTTTTCAAAGTATTCTCGAAAAGACTTCGTTATTAGGAGCTGTAATTAACTCTTTTGGGTTGAAAAAGGCGAAAAACAAAGATAACCAGAAAAATATGCATGAGGTTAATTAGCCAATCAGTGTACTGCAATCAGTATGTGAATATGTTACAGCCCTGCACTCCCCTGGGAARTATTCAATGCCGCCCCCAACTTTTAGATTGTTGGACTGTATTGGGATGCACAAATGACATCACATGATCATTTCAGCGTTCTTGATTGGTAGTTTACCTCATGTATTATTAAATGAGTTTTAGATATATAATTTGTTCTGCACTGCTGCGATTCAATGAAACAGTTTGCTTCGAAGATGAAAGGATTACTGGTCGTGTGTTTTGTCCTTAAGATCGTTTCTACCATAGCATGCTGTCGTACAGGGGTAAGTTTTACAATGATACATCGTTAGCCTATAATTTCACTAGTTTATTCTATCAATGCTACCCGGGAAGGCTTCTATCTTTTGTCAAACATGCACAGGGCTAGTGATTGCTCAATTCGAGAACCATGAAAGCACTTGTCGCCAGATAGAATTCGAATTTAAAATCTTTAAAAGTTTTTGCGGAGGATGACCCATAGAGGCTGGAAATGAAATTTGCAGGGCTGCATATGTGAGATGCAACGAATAACAGCGCAAAAATAACTTCATTTGACTGTCAATTTTGAACGAATCATAATTAATTTACCGCTTTCGAATCACTATTTTCGCAACTTTAAATGTTACAATAAAARAACATCTTTGGAAAGATACTTTTAATCCCCTCAAGCAGGAGAAATAAGAAAAGTAAAACAGAAAAAACTGTAAACAAAAA